CAAAACGTTTCTATGTTAAATAGTCTTTTACATTTTTATGCATATAGGTTACAACCTGCCATATTCATTCATCCAGTGATGATGAAATTGACTTTAAAGAAACGGGTTTCTCACAGGATTCTTCTTTGCAGCAAGTGAGTCACGCCTAAAGCTTTGCTTTTTGTTTTTATTTTAAATGCTTAGTTTAGTTGCCTTTTATGAATCAGCTTCAGAGTCAGATTATGTATTAGAATGTGATTTGGGGTTACTTATTAGTTAGGCCAAAGCATTTAAAATAGGAAGTGCTGGGTACATGAAAGATAGATTTATATTGATTATGTTTCAAGGGATTGTTCCACCTGATAACAGTGATGAGTCAAGTACATTTTCAGAAAATTTGAATGAACTGAATAGTTAAGGCATCTCACACATGCTTGTTACGCAGACCTTTACAGTAGTTGAGTTGTTGCTTAAAGATTTGTGTAGTAGAGATCTGCCGGTAAAAATAATAGAAATAAGACGTTTAAAATGTAAGTAAAAGTAAACTGTCACCATTACCCCTGATGTAAGTTCTATTATAGTTACATCTAAAGTAAATTTTTAGTTGAAGTAATTCATTGCAACTCCTCTCTGCCTGTCCCTGAATTTTTCATCTCCCTTTATCACCTACTTATAATCTTTGTGGGGGAAAGCCTCAATATAAATAATAAATGTACTCATTTATCATCCATTGTTAGTTCTTGGAGAAGTGACAAATGATTTTACTTCTCTACTAGGTGTGGGAGTTAAAAACAGAAGCCCTTTTGCAGGCTATCAGCTTTTCATATGGAGAAGTTGTCCTTAGCCAGGACCAGAATGCCTTGGCTTACATGTTGCTTTGGTGCAGCGATAGAATTGACGGGGATACCTTCCCACCCAGCACGGAATGTTGTTGCTTGGCTTCTTTTTTTTAGTCTCTAAGCTTCGTCTTAGATGAAGCTTCATGCCTATGCTGGCCCTGTCTTTTGACTTCCAAGTCTTACACCTGTCATACTCCAGTATTGGTTGAGCTAAAGCAATTGTTTGATTTTAATACTAAGGCAGTTTAGCATTCATCTTTCCCAGATAGGTCTGAAGTGTAGCATTTCAGCATTTGGCTGGCTTCTCTGTTGATTCTTGACACTTCTGCCCTTTGACAGCGGATTTCCAGAGGTTAGGGTCAGGAAGTAGCCAGTCCATAGGGGGCACTGTTGAGCAACAGTGCCTTCTCAAAGAGTGCAGCTCTCATTGCTTCCTGCCTTGGCTTGCTATTAGGCTGCATGGGCCATGGCGGTGGCCTACCATGGCTCATTGTGAGCCCTCGTGCCTACAAGCATCCCTTTTCCCAGAGCGCTCTGGGATTGTCCCAGGAAGCACCTTGACAATGGGCTCTCCCTCCACTGAAGCACCTGTAGAGTACTGAAATAGTCCACCCAGTTGGCCGTGAACCTGAGTGCTATACATTGGTCCACCCCTAGAATGAAGCTTGATGATATCAAATGTATATTATCAAGGTAATTTTGTACCTGTTGAAATAGGTACAAAGAAAAAGAACACCTTACTAGTAATAATAATAAACTTGGAACTTTGGGCTGTCAATTTAGTCTAGATTTGGTTAAATTTAGGCATTTGGAAAGTGGATTCCTTTATTTCTCGTGATATCTGGTACCAGGGTCATACCTATTCTGGGGAGAGTTTCCTTACATTATTTTGTTTGTTTGACCGACAGCTCATGTGCATACGAAGCAATTTCATTCACAAAACTAACTTACAACAGCCCTTGCCAAGCTCTTAGTCTTGCGAAATTTACCCACTTCATATGAACCTTTCAGAGTGGAAGAATAATTACTCTTCTCTGATTGACAAGCTTCCAGTACATTTTTCTTTGCATGTTTAAACCAATCTGTATCATTTTGAAAATAAATGTGCTCCAAAGCACTTCTTAAAATTTTGAGAATGCAAAAAAGTCTTGGTTAGTTTATTAGAGTTTCGTCATAGTCTCCATTAAGATCGGAATATTAGTTTGTAGACTTGAACTTCAAGTTCTTGTTCACGTTTGAGGTTGGGCATCGTGTTGATAAAGTCTCCAAATGTAGAGAGCTCAGGGCAGATCATTTAACCAGGTAACCCAGCCATGTCACCAGTGGGGAGTGCCTCCAGGCGTTTGTGCCCTGCCCATTTGTTTCTCCCTTTAGCCTCGTCTGGTCTCCTCAAGTCTAGTGTTTGACTCCCCACCTCCCTGATTCTGCCTTATAGAAGTTTGGAGGGTGAGGCCCCCATGGAATGTCTGGAGAATTCAGACTGACTGCCGCATATGGGCTCTGAAGCACTGATCTCCTCATTTCCCTCTACCTCACATCACATACGGGCGTGCTGGTCGGCAGTCAGGCCTCATTTAGTTGACCAGTAGTTTCTGTTGCCTGGGTGGCATTACTGTTAAGAGATTTGCTTAATAAAGTGGTTGGCTCACTTCTCAGTGACTTGAACAGTTTCTGACTTTGGCCAGGATGACAGTACTAGGAAAGTGTGCTTTTTAAAAGTAATTATACAGCCATGTTGTGCTTTCCAGATACAAGTTTCTCAGAGTTCAAAGCACTTTTTATATACCTTTAAATATAATACAGTAACAGTCTTCACTTACGTATATTTGTAAGCTGTGGTAGCTTTATTAGTAAAAATGAGATTTGATATGTGAAGTTCTTTGCTAGAAGCTGTAATAGACTTAGAACTAATGAGGATTACATTTGATCATTTTTCTTTTTTCTGTGCATTATTGCATGGAAGTTACTAGTGTCTGTGTCAGTTGCTATGTATCTCTCCAGATGGATTAATAGATAAATACATATTTGTATATGTATTCTGTATGTACATGTATGTATGTATACATTTGTATTTAGTATTTGTTTTCTATTTTTGAATCATTTAAAATATAACAACATTTTGGGGAGTATTGCTTCCCCTTTACACCCAGGAGAATCACATTAGGATCACTGGAGGTATAAAAATTTTGAGAGAGTTAGCTGCGATGGCTTGCACCTGGAGTCTGGCTACTCTGGAGGCTGAGGTAGGAGGATTGCTAGGTGGTAGGAGTCTAGGAGTTTGAGTCCAGCCTGGGCAACGTAGCAGACCCTGTCTCTTAAAAAAAATTTTTTTTTTTGAGAGGAAAAATAAAACAATTGGGAGGGACCTTTTCCCTTGCATGACCAAATTTCTGATCTGTAGATAAACTCAGAGCATGGTTCATGCTGCTTATTCAACAGAATCACTTCATGGTTCTTTACCAGATCTTTGAAGTACTGAGCATCTGTTTTGCCTCATAAAAGATAAAGCTGCAATTCAGAGGACCTGATTTCTTTTTGATGTAATTAATATTAATGCTGGCTGTCATATTGTCCATTCATAGGCCCAGAACTCAGCCCAGCAGCCCAGGACTTGTCCCTACCCTTCTGCTTTCAGCCAGACCCCCATGCTCAGCCTTGGTTTGCACTCCATGCCTTACCAAGTGGCCATTCCACAGCCAGTCGCTCGCTGCCCCCTGCTCCCTGCCCCCCTGTGCTCATCTAATATCACCTCTGGGGGCAGGAAAGGGGACAGCACGGAAGTGGGAGTGAGCAGAGGGCCAGTGGGTGTGCCGTTGTCTTGCATGAGCAACAAGGGAGGTTTTGGGTTCTCTCTGTCTAGTCAAACTAGACATACAGAGCTTTTTTTCAGACCTAAGCAGTATAGCTACCTTCCAAAGCCTAATATAAGGTTTATTTTTAAAGTATCTACAATAATTATCCATGCCATAATTCCCTGCCACCAGAATAAGTAGTCAGGAATTAATGGTAGAGGCATTTCTGCAGTGTACATCTGCAAAGTGGAATCTGTAGGCTCTGCCCATCTGTGGAACCAAGGAGAAGGTGGTTTAATTGAGTTACAGCTGCCTCCTTCCCAGCAAGTGCCAGTGGGAGTGATGCCTTCAGTTGAGCCAACAGCCGCCTCTCTGCCCTCCATGGGCTCACCCGTAGAAAACGGCAGTCTCATCTGTATGCAGCTCTAGTCACCGTATTTATTGTTTGGGTTAGAATGAGGAGGTGGCACTAGTTCGTCTTCATATGTTCTTTACTCCTGATTAATACGTAAGAACATACTTGCTGATTTCACTTGCTTCTTTGGGCCTGCTTGTTTTAAATTAGAATATCAGCATTTTCCTGGGGTCCTTTATAACACCGCCCCCCCCTCCATTTTTCAACTAAAAACCCAAGCAAGTCTGGTACTCTCTAGATTTGACGTAAGGAAACAGAACTGGCTCCTCTGTGGGTCTTCTAGTGTTAGAGACTTTTCAGAGTGATTTTGGATAAGTAGTCAAACATTTACCCTCTTCTTAAGGTAGGTAGGATAGAAATTATTTTCGTTTTATATTCTTCCCAGCCTCTGAGACTTAATTTTTTTAAAAAGAAATGAAATATCCCTGAACACTTTGTTTCTAGGATTATGCTTGTGTTGATCAGTTGGTTTTCCTCTGGTTTGCTGTAGTAGACTGGGGTGGAGGAGGTGGCAAGGAGGGAGGGGGTGGTCACCACTTGTTGGATCTTAGGATAAAGTTGGTTGTGTCCAGAGGTGACTGATACACCTTATAATTTCAGACTGTTCCATGTAATGTGATCACTTCAAGCTAGGCTTAATCCAAACCTCTCTCTAAAGATAATTCACAGTAGAGGACAGAGTGGTCACATAATGTTTCTTACAGTGACATGTGCATTAGAATGATTTGTAGACCAAATTTCAAACGTTTCCTTTTTTGGCAAATTGTGTCTGAAATTATTTGATTTTTCTTTTAGAAAAACACACCAACTTTTAAAGCCCTATGGCTATGTAAATAAGATGATTTCTGGAACACAAATGGGCAAATAGTATGTAGAATATCATTAGAATCATTATATCACTGTCACTGGTCCTGGGGTTGCCAGGCCTTTTCTGATTATCAGATGCAACAAATGACGTCCAATTTTATTGACCAGTTCGGCTTCAACGATGAGAAGTTTGCAGATCAAGATGACATTGGCAAGTGAGTATATTTTTCTGTTTTCACTCTTGCTCTTGCACAACCTTGATCTTGGCAGATGTATATGTGATTCTGCGGGATTATTAGTCTTGAGCATTCATTCGTGAGTGGGAGGAACCTGCTGTCTCCACAGTGTTCCTCTAGTTCTAGCAGATTGACCCTGAGACTGGATAATTAGGACTTGAAATAACACTCCAGTGGCCTTGTGCGGTGGCTCACACCTGTAATCCCAGCACTTTGGGAGGCTGATGCAGGCGGATCACTTGAGGTCAGGAGTTCAAGACCAGCCTGGCCAACATGGCAAAACCCCATCTTTACCAAAAATATAAAAAATTAGCCAGTTATGGTGGCGGGCACCTGTAGTCCCAGCTACTCGGTAAGCTGAGGCAGGAGAATCACTTGAACCCAGGAGGCAGAGGTTGTAGTAAGCTGAGATGTTGTGCCATTGCGTTCCAGCCTGGGCGACAGAGCCAAACAAACAAACAAACAAAAAAAAACAATATCCCTGCAAAGAAAGCAGCATTCACCTGTAGGGTTTCTCCTCTTTCTCAGAAGCCTGTTTTTATTAGATTACACTTTTAGGAATTCAAGTCACCGTTCTTAATTTTAGCTTTTAATGTTAAATAGTATTATCTAAAGTCCTTAATCCTGGCCAGGCGCAGTGGCTCACACCTGTAATCCCAGCACTTTGGGAGGCCGAGGCAGGCAGATCACTTGAGGTCAGGAGTTCAAGACCAGCCCAGCCAATGTGGCAAAACCCCGTCTCTACTAAAAATACAAAAAGAATAGCCAGACTGGGTGTGTGTGCCTGTAGTCCAAGCTTCTGAGGAGGCTGAGGTGGGAGAATCACTTGAACTTGGGAGGCAGAGGTTGAACTGAGCCAGGATTGCACCACTGCACTCCACTCTGGGCAACACAGGAAGACACTGTCTCAATAATAACAATAACCATAATAATAAAGTTATTAATCCCTGTGTTTTTAACTGGGGCATCACGTTGCAGTAGATGACCAGGTTGGCAGGAACAGCTCTGCCCTGTGTGTATTCTCTTCTCTAGGTGACTCATCATAAGGTAGATTTGGGTGTTTTCAAGAGCCAGACACTCTAACCACTCATTCTGCAGTCAGGGTAAGAAGCAGAGAAATGAGAATTATTGATACTGTACAGAATTAACAAGTAGAAAATGTGTAGGTGGTTAACAGAAATGAAAACAGGTGGTCTAGCATCTGACATTGGGATGGAAGATTTATAAACAAAATATTTTGAGATAGATATTATAGCTTATTGACACAGTTTAAGAAAAAATAGGAAGGCAGCTGGTATTTGAATATTGGATGATGACTGTCACAGGAGACACGATTATGCCATAGACACCCAGTATCTGCTGTGGTCTTTGGAAGCAGTAAATCCTCAATAATTTTTTGAACCACAGCCAGTGGAGGCTGTTGTTTGTCACAAATTGCAGTTTGCAGTATGTGAGAAGCCAAAATATTTTTACAGCACACTCTTAATTGTGCTATAAACATGCCGTATGGGCACAGTGGAATGGAGGTGCCCCTGTAAACAGCAGCAGTTGAAGGCTGTTAACTGCCTTGAGAATTGGTTCATTTTAACCAAAAAAGAGCAAGAACACAAGATGTTCTGTCCATACCCCAGGAACATTCTACTGAGGCCAGGATCCACCGCCTTCACACCATACGCTGCAGGTCCCTGTTTGGTGTCTTGATGTTCACGTGCCTGGACTCTTGCTTCATCTTCCTAGTTAGGATCTATAATCTCTTTACAGTCTGTATTGCATGCTTGGACTAGTGATTTAGTAGAACAGATCTTTTAAGAATCATAAGATAGCCCCTCCTCCTCAAACTTACGTTTAATAAGCAATGAATTCTTTTACTCCCTGCTTGCTTTTCTAGATGATACCTTGTTATAGCATAAGATTTCATGGGTGTCTATATTTTGTGTATGAGTTTGACTATCCCTGGAGAAAATTCAGTGTCTGACAGCTTTTGTATACTTCATGTTTTGACTTGGTTCTTTGCAAATAACCTTTTTCTTGGTTATATTAGTATGGCCCATGGAGCCATGGTTGTTACCATAGATGTTAAAAATCTTTTATAGGAAGGATTTGAGGGTGTCCCAAAGGCTTTATGTCTCAGAAGGCTTCCATTGCAGCCCTCCTATCCTACATAAATTCATTAATACCAAGGGAGCTGGCATCATTTAATATAAGAAGGCTGTTTCTGTTTGTTTTTTATTTAGAGAGATTTTGATAATAGTGTAAATATTTTAAATTTGGAAACTTTCATAAATACGGTTTCTGTGAGCCGATAGTAATTAATGCTTCCTACACTTCTATTTTTTTTTTTTTCACAGTGTTTCTTTTGATCGAGTATCAGACATCAACTTTACTCTCAATACAAATGAAAGTGTAAGTATAAACCCTCTGTTGTGAGTGGTGTGGTGCATGAGAGGTTAAAAATTGGGTTAGTCTGTGTGTGGATGCCACATGCTGGGACCCCTGTACTCTAGAGCCCTAATCCTAAATTGGTGTTACATACTTCACTCTGTCCCACGACCTGCCTGGCACCTGTGGGTGTGTGATTTTTGCAGCCCTAGTTTATGACTTGATGCAGCTAATAAAACCAGGGTCACTTGTGACTGCAGCATAGACAGTTGACTTCAAAGAGAAGGCTGCAGTTTGACGCCAACTCACTGCCTTTGACTCCTTTGTATTGCCAGGAGAGAAATGTGGACTGGGTCAGGGCAAGCCCCTCATTACTAGGCATTTCTGTGGAAGCACCGAGACAGTCATGTCATCTGAATGGGGACAGTTTATTGATTTTATGTTGACTAGCATGAGAGACCACTGGCTTATTTGCTGATGGAGTAAGGTAGGAACTGCTGATTTGAGCCATTGAAGGTCATCACTGCTCAGCTGGACTAGTAAAAGCAAACAAGTACGATTGCTTTTCCTTGCTAGGACAGACCTGGGACCGCATCTCCAGGACAGGGGAGGCTCCTGGGATTACAATGATGCTTTGACGAGATGAAAGAGGATATGGTTTATGCTTCTTTTTGCTAGTCTTTTTAGGGAAACCCAGTCTTTTTTAGGGGAATTCTTGCTGTGGACACAGAAACTAACGCTAGGTGTTTATATTTTATTTTGGTATATGTGACAGGCACCATTTTGTAAAGCAGTGAAAAAATGCAGTTTACATTGGTAATGCTTAAGAGAAGATAACTTGATTTTAAATTTGTTTTGTTGGTTTTTTTCTCTCATTTTTATTTAGGGAAATATTGCCTTGTTTGAAGCATGTTGTAAGGAAAGAATACAACAGTTTGATGATGGTGGCTCTGATGAGGAAGATATATGGGAGGAAAAGCACATTGCATTCACACCAGAATCCCAAAGACGATCCAGGTGAAAGATAGTTGGTTATAGTTGTAATTATAGCCAACCTATAAAGAAAATGATTATCATGAGATGTACATTGTGTAATCACCAAACGTACATGTTTACCCCAGAAACCAGTGTTTTTTTGTCAAGGCCAGAAATGCGCTTGGTGGGAGTTGGTGCTTCCAGTGTGACAGTGATCGGCTTGAAAGTACTGCAGGTGTTTAGACACAGTTCATGAGATGCTGTGACCCAGCGTCTTCCGAAGGGGAAATGTGTCAGACAACCATGGTCACGTAGTGCCTTTTACTAAATAAATGTTCCCTCACCAGTAATTACAACACCAGTTATGTGGTGTTTCTTGTAAAAGATGGAAAACTTCCCAAAGGAAGGGGAAATTGTTTTTAAAAGTTAATCTATTTGGGGAAGATAGGGTCATGTCAGTTGATACATCTGGGTCAGTCCCGTCCTTTTTTTAATCACCCTTATCACAGGAACCTAAATAAATGTTGCTTCTGTACACAGACAGATCTTGTTATATGAGTATTCATTATCAGAATCTTCATATTTAAGAGAGAGGAGTATTTGATCAGTGGCTGAACTTTCAATTTTATTTCATTTATTGTTACTCATTTTATTCATTTACTTAAAATAAGTAATGTTTTCACATGGCCTAAAATTCAAAGGGAATCAAAGAGTATGCATTGAAAAGTAAAACTGCCTCATCCCTTCTCCCAGCCATCCAGTCCTCTTGCCGGGGAGTCCTTCAGCATCACCTCTCGCTGCCAGTTACGTTGCCTCTTGTAGGAATGCTTGTTGCCACAGGTTATAGCAGACTCAGCAGTGGCTTGAGCAAGTGAAGCTGTGTTTGTCTCAGCAGTCCAGACTCGATAAGGGAGTTGAATAAGGCTGTTAGACCAGGCATCTTTTATTTATTCCTGCTCTCGTCTTGTTGATGTATCTCCTATGATCACAAGATAGCTGCTATAGCTCCAGAGCCAGACAGCAAAAGAAAAATACCTTCATGGCATTTTTGTTTGTTCGTTTGGATAAAGTCCCACTCAGACTTGTTTGGCATCATTTACTGAGATTTTGGTTCTTAGGTTCAGTGGATTCACCAATGGATTCCTTGCCCACAGCATGACTAATATGTGTGAGGACAGTAGTACAGTATGGCCTCACAGAGCACCATGTGTGGAAGGCACAGAGAATTTAGTGTGTCGGGGAAGACAGTGTCCTGGGGGAGATGGCACCTGATACCCAGAGGGAACACTGATGACAGAAGGCAGCTTTTATTATTTAACAACTCTGTTGAGGCATACTTGACATAAACTGCATTTATTTCAGTTGTACAATGTGGAAATTTCAACATGTGTATACATCCATGAAACCAACATCATGAACTTAACCATCACCCCAAAAAGTCTTCTCATGATCTTTTGTATACCTTCCTCCTTCCTGTCCCCCACAACCATCTGTTTTTTGTTCCATTAGTTTGCTTTTTCTAGAGTTTTATATAAATGAAATCAATACATTATACTTTTTTTGTCTAGCTTCTTTCACTCAACATAATTAATATGAGAGCTATCCATGTTGTCTAATGTTTTAGTCCATTTCTATTTTTGGGGGGGCGGGGGCTGGGTAATATTCCATTAAGAGGATACACTACAATGTGTTTATTCATTTTCCTATTGATGGATGTTTTGGTTGTTTTTGGTTTGAGGCGTATAATGTCACTTGAAGATAGATAGTGATGTTAGTATATGTGCTGCCGAAGCGAGCACGATAGATAGTGATGTTAAAGGTGCATACTGTAAATCCTAAAGTAGTCACTAAAATAACAAAGAGTTATTGTTAATAAGCCAACAAAGGAGATAAAATCAAATCATAAAATACAAAAGAAAACAGAAAAAGAACAAAGGGCAGCCTGGACAAACAAAACTACTGAGCAGCAGGATGATAGAGTTAGTCCTAAAAAACCATGTGAAACAAACGATGCAGACACCCTCATTTAAAAGACAGAGATTGGCTGGGCACAGTGGCTCACACCTAGAATCCCAGCACTTTGGGCGGCCGAGGCAGGTGGCCTGCTTGAGCCCAGGAGTTTGAGACCAGTGTAGGCAACATGGCAAAACCCTGTCTCTACAAAAAATACAAAAATTAGCTGGGCATGGTGGCATGTGCCTGCTGTGAGGTGAAGCAGGAGGATTACTGGGAAGTCGAGGCTATAGTGAGCCAAGATAAAAAACAAAAAAAGATGGTTAGATTGGATAAAAAATGAGGCCTAATTAATGCTGCCTATGGGAAATGATTTAAATACAAAGAAACAAGTACTATATAAAAACACAAAAAAGAAAAAGATATGTCAACACTAAGAAAAGCCAGGTCTGTATTAATCTCAAAATAGATTTCAAAGGGAAGGGATAAAGAAAGTGATAGATATAATGATAAACGGATCCATTCATTCTAAGAGGACATCGCAATTTTAAATGTCTACACAAGCTAATGACAGAGCTTCAGGATACACAGAGGAAAAACTGGTAGAGCTGTAAAGAGAAGTAGAGCAGTCCACAATGATAGCCAATATTTTAACACCCCTCTCTCAGTAACTGATAAAATGGTAGGTACAAATCAGTAAGGCTGTGGAGCACTTGAACACCACCATCAACTAACTTGTCCTCCTTGCCTGTTTATAAAGAATCCTGCCCAACAACCACAGAATGTACATTCAAGTGTATGAAATATTTACCAAGATAGACCATAAAGCAAGTCTCAGATTTCAAAGGGTTCAAGTCATTTTCTGACCAAAATGGAATGAAATTAGTAATCAGTAACATAAAGACTTTTGGTAAATCCCCCAGCATTTTTTTTTTTTTTTTTGAGACGGGGTCTCGCTCTGTCACCCAGGCTGGAGTGCAGTGGTGTGATCTTGGCACGCTGCAACCTCCACCTCCCGGGTTCCAGTGATTCTCCTGCCTCAGCCTCCCAAGTAGCTGGGATTACAGGCGCCCACCACCAGACCTGGCTAATTTTTGTATTTTTAGTAGAGACAGGGTTTTACCACGTTGGCCAGACTGGTCTCAAACTCCTGACCTCAGGTGATCCGGCTGGGCGACAGAGCAAGACTCTGTCTGGGGAAAAAAAAAAAAAAAAGATGCTGGAATCTACAGAAAGACTACTAGAACAATTAAAATGACTGTAGCAAAGCTGCATGATACAAGAGCAATATAATTTTCCATCTTCATACTGCAACGAACAGTTGAAATTGATAAAACAAGCCAAGCATAGTGGTGCATGTCAGTAGTCCCAGCTGCTCGGGAGGCTGAGGCAGGAGGATCCCTTGAACCCAGGAGTTTGAGACTGCAGCACGCTATGATCACACCTGTAAATAGTCACTGCATTCTAGCCTGAGCAATATAGACACCCATCTCTTAAAAAAGGGAGAGAGAGAGATAGAGAAAGAAACTACTAAATAATACTATTCATAGTAGCACCAACACTATTAACTGTATTAAACATTACTGGGCAGGTGGCTCCTGCCTACAATCCCAGCACTTTTGGAGGCCGAGGCAGGAGGATCTCTTGAGCCCAGGAGTTCGAGACCAGCTCAAGGAACATAGGGAGACCCTATCTCTATTTTTTTAAAAAGGGAAAAAATTTAAATATGTAGGGACAGATCTGACAAAGGATGTCCAAGACTTGTATGCTGAAAAGCCTAAAGCATAGCTCTGAGATAAAGACAACTTGGTAAATGTTTATAAGTAGGAAGACACAATATTGTAATACTAAGCTGCCAGCTCTCCCCAGGTTGAATCTATAGATTCAACACAAACAAAATCCTTCCAGCCTTTTTTGTAGCTATTAACAAGCTGCTTCTTAAATTCATATGGAAATGAAAAGGATCTAGAATAGCCAAAACGACTCTTATAGAGAACAACAAAATTGGAGGAGAAACACTACCTTATTTTAAAATTCAATAGTTAAAACAGTATGGTATGGGCAAGAAGGTAGGGCATAGATCAGTGGAACAGAATAGAGAGCCCATAAATACAGGCTTATACATATGTGGACAACTGACTCTTGATAGAGGCGAAAGGCGATTCAGTGGAGAAAGGATAGTCTTTTCAACAAATGGTGTGGAACAATCAGGCATCCATATTAAAAAAAGTGAACTGATCCATACCTCTTACTATAATACATTAACTCAGAATGGATCTTAGACCCAAATGTGAAACATTAAACTATAAAACTTCTACAAGAAAACTTAGAAAATCATTGTGACCTTGAGTTAGGCAAAGATTTCTTAGATGTATCACCAAAAGCACAATACATAAAAATAATTTTTTTTTTTTTTTTGAGACGGAGTTTCGCTCTTATTGTCCAGGCTGGAGTGCAGTGGCATAATCTCAGCTTACTGCAACCTCTGCCTCCCGGGTTCAAGTGATTCTCTTGCCTCAGCCTCTGGAGTAGCTGGGATTATAGGTACCCGCCACCACACCCAGCTAATTTTTGTATTTTTAGTAGAGATGGGGTTTCGCCATGTTGGCCAGGCTAATCTCGAACTCTTGACCTCAGGTGGTCTGCCCGCGTCAGCTTCCCAAAGTGCTGAGATTACAGGCCTGAGCCACCACGCCCATCCATAAAAGAATAATTTTAGTAAGCTGAACGTCATCAAAATTTAACATTTTCACTCTTCAAATGACACTTATAATAGAATGAAACGATAAACCACACACTGGGAGAAAACATTTGCAAATGACACGTTAGGTAAAAGACTTGTGTGTAGAGTTAAGAAATCTCTTTACTCAAGAAAAAGACAATCCAGTTTTTAAAAAGCACAAAAGTGTGAAAAGACAAGAAGATATAGGATGGCAAATAAGCATTTAAAAAGATGCTCAACCTCGTTGGTCATTAGGAAAGTACAAATGAACACCACAGTGAAATGGACATCTCCACCCCTGCGAGAAGGTGGTTCTTAGATTGTGGCCTCCACTTTAAGCAGAGCCCACGTGCTCCTGCGGTGGAGGCTTAGTGTGAGGTTGGGCAGCACGTACACAAAGCTGAGTCTTCCCGGGCATCCTGACCACGTGGTGCTCAGGCAGATGTGATCCTGCTGAAGCACCACAGGATCTTTTGTTGCTAGGTGACTTAGAATTTTCTGGATTTAGCTGGTGGCTGATAAGCAACGTTAAATACTTTGGTCTTTTTTTTTTCTTAGCTCGGGGAGTACAGACAGTGAGGAAAGTACAGACTCTGAAGAAGAAGATGGAGCAAAGCAAGACTTGTTTGAATCCAGCAGTGCTAACATGGAGGATAAAATGGAGGTGGATCTGAGTGAACGTAAGTGGTTTCATTCTTCACATCAGCTGCCCTGTCTTGGAATTAGGTACTGTGAACATTGGCAAAGGAGCAGTTCATAGCATCTGAGATGATTTCTGAAGGAGTGGTTGGGTTGAAGCGTGTTGTCAAGTGAATTCCTCTTGGAGGTTTTAAGTTTCAGAGACAGCTTCAGGGAAGGAGCACAGCATGCATTTGTGGCTAAGGTACCTCCTCTTCCTGGTAGGCAGTGAACGTCAGCTGTGTGGGTCTGGCTGGAGGACAGAGCCCGCTGCTAGGTCAGCCTCCTGGCTGTGTTGTCCGTGTGCTCTTGCAGAAGGAAAAGACCCTGCGTTGGTGGGAAGAGGAGGACGTGGTTGTGTTGTGTGGGTTCGTGAGTGGAATCAGCCAGGGGACGCAGCCTTAGCTTAACCAGCATTTCAGTGCATTCTTCGTAGTTGATTTCAGAAGCTCACAGCCTTGAAACTTGTCCAGCTGAGTGCTTGCTTATGCCCTGCTCCTTGCTAGGAAGACTTGAGTTAGCTGGCCTTTTAAAAATACTTTAAAAACTTCTAAAGGTTTGGGAAACAAACGTTCACATGAAGGAGCCTTATGGGCCGATAGCGAGGCTTGCCCCAAGCCTGGGCAGTCTCTGATTGCCCCGCAAGGCCTTTTTTGTGTTCAGTCCGAGAGGCTGAAGCCCAGCTAGGGTGGACCTTGTGGTGGCTTCAGGGCTAGATGGGACCATATCAGTCATCCAGCAAACTGCCACATATTGCAGATTAGGAAACTGGGGATGGGAGAAGAGAGAGCTTCTTTCTGCTGCCCCTTTTCCAGCCCACCCTCAGGAGGAGGAAGTGGACTTTTCTCCTTTTTTTGGTCTGTTTATAACCCGAAGATAAAAGCCTTTGGTTACTTGAGGGTGTGATTGAAGCAGCTTGCTTCTCTTTACCCTCTGTGTGCACGTCTCTGAGTTTGTGGGAGTGAGGGATAAAATTCAATTTCAGTCAACATGCCTTTGTCAAGTTCCTACTGTATGCCAGGTGCTAGGCCTGTAACTGCGAATGGGCCACAGACTCTGCCTCCAGGGGCTTAGGGTCGGCTGGGGAAGCAGATGGGCAGCGCAGGGGAATGGGGACAGGGTACTAGAAGAGGGGAGCCTTCCATTAGGCATCTTCGTAGAGGCAGGTGGGTGTGAGGCCGAAGGACTCGTAGGGATTTGTCCTTGCGAGAGAGAAAACAACTAATCGGAATGCCCAGAACGTGCTGTTTCACATGGCTCGGGGATGAGGTGGCAGGAGCTAAGGCCAGAGACCAGATCAAGAGTTGTATTCTGAAGGTTGTAGGGAGCCCCTGAGGATTTGACTAAGAAGATCATTATTGGATCTGTTTCAAGACACTCACGGCAACAGTAAAAAAATGGACAAGAAAGCGCATAGTAGAGACAGGAGAACCATGAAGACATTGGATTGTTGTTACACATGAGAAATAACGAGAACTGCGAGATGGGCTCCAGGCAGCAGGGAGGTGTGAGGAGGAGACAGGGTAGATGCCCTGATCTGTTGGCTCTGGCATCTGTAGGGTGTTTTGTTGTTGTTGTTTAATGTACAGTTCAAGGCTGGGTGCAGTGGCTCAGGCCTGTAATCCCAGTGCTTTCTGGAGGCCAAGTTCGGCGGATCACTTAAGGCCAGGAATTTGAGACCACCCTGGCCAACAGGGTGAAACCCTGTCTCTACTAAAAATAAAAATTAAATTAAAAAAAAGTTGGACATGGTGGCAAACACCCATAGTCCCAGCTACTCGGGAGGCTGAAGCAGGAGAATCGCTTGAACTCAGGAGGTGGAGGTTGCAGTGAGCCAAGATCGTGCTGTGCACTCCAGCCTGGGCGACAGCAAGACACCGTCTGGGGAAAAAAAAAAAAAGTACAGTTCAGTAGTATAGTCACACTGTTGTGTGACAGATCTTTAAAACTTTTTCGTCTTGAACTAAAACTCTGTACCCATTAAACAATTCCTCATTTCTACTTCCCCAGTCCCTAGCAGCCTCCATTCTACTTTCTGTTTCTCTGGGGTTGTCTAGTCTAGGGCTCTCATATAAATGGAATCATACAGTATTTGTCTTTGTGACTGGTTTGTTTTATTTTGCATAATGTCTTCAGAGTTCATCCCTGCTGTGGTGTATACAGGATTTCCTTCTGTTTGAAGGCTGAATGACGTTCTGGAATATTTGGTTCTTTTAGCAGGCTGGGTATGGTTAAGTGACAGGGAGGTAAACAAACACGTGGCTGGATTGTGTGCCGCTGCTGCTGTGATTGTGGGCCTGGGTGTAGGAATAAGGAGGGAGGAAGTGAGCACCCTGGATGAGGTTCGAGTTTGCCTACCTCCTGGGGTTAAATTGGCCGGGAACCAGGCCTCTTGCTTCTCTGCTCCTTGGGAAAGACGGCTTTTGCATCTTCAGATCTCTGGAGGCACAAGTGGGTAGGGTTGGGGAAGATTCTCTCTCAGGGCTTCAGGGCTACAGGGCTGCCCCAGAGAGCCTCTGCCATTTCACCAGTCTCTGTGGCTTCTTTTGGAGGTTTTGTGGACGTTCAGAATGGTTTAAAATGTTAACATGGACTCTGAGGAGCTAATCTCCTCAAAGAGATTATCAAAGAGATAACAGAAAAGTCATTTGTACGTAATATAATTTAGTTGTAGAGTGGAACTCAGGTGGAATGGTTCCAGAGCTTTGCACACGGTGGGCAGGCACAAATATCTGTCAAGTTGACTTTTCGGAGGTTTCAGGTGAGATTTTCAAACGTTCAAGCATTTATTCCTTCTTAGTGTCAGTGGAGCCCTACGACACTCATACAGGTAAGTGGGCAAGAAGCATGGAGTGCACCCTAATTAAATATCTACTCTCTGCAGGCCTTCCTTTGATTTTTGCTAAGTGAATAGTCATTATGAAATCAAACAGATGAAGTCAAATACCTTGCTCAAAGTCACAGTCGAGCCTGTCTTTAAAATCAGAACATTTCTATTCTACACAGGTACTTCTTAGTCAGTTGTGTCTGGGATAAGCCCTTACATAACTTATACCAGGTTCCCTAGCATTCCTTCTTGCAACCTGGAGATTCCTAATTATGATAATATCCCTGATGGAATGCAGTGGTTCCCATATCCGGCTTGTTCCCAGCAAGGAATTGAGGATTCAGCACTCTGAAGGAAAAGCATGGTGTGCAGTTAGAGCAGATCCACAGAGACCTGACTTCATCAGAAGAGACACATGTCTGAGGAGGTGACATTTAAAGAGAGACCTGCAGATTAGACCCAAACTTGTCCAGCAGGCAGCATAACACGGAGAGCCCCACAGACTGCAAGTGTGCCCAAGCAAGTCCTGCCGCTTCAGCGTGAGGCCAGACCTGGTTCTGTAGGACTTAGGAAGCCTAACTGCAACGCACTGCAGTGAGCCCGCAGAGTGCGCCAAGGGCGGCCAGACCTGGACTAGGAAGCAGTAAGGTTGTTTCTAGCTTATTGGAGTTGAATAACCAACATGTTCTTTTTTTTAGAAAAATAACCTTTTTACTTTTGAATAATTTAGATTTATAGAAACATTGCCAAGATAGTAAGTCCCCATATATCCTTCACTTAGCTTCCCCCAGTTTGAATATAGCCGTGGTACATTTGTCAAAACTAAGAAATTAACGTTAATCCCTCTTTGTGTACGTAGCTTTGAATCTCTGTGTAGTATTTCTTTTGGAACAGTTAGAAATGGGAGGTTTGGGCCGGGCGCGGTGGCTCACGCCTGTAATCCCAGCACTTTGGAAGGCCGAGGCGGGCGGATCACAAGGTCAGGAGATCGAGACCACGGTGAAACCCCGTCTCTACTAAAAATACAAAAAATTAGCCGGGCGCGGTTGTGGGCGCCTGTAGTCCCAGCTACTCGGGAGGCTGAGGCAGGAGAATGGCGTGAACCCAGGAGGCGGAGCTTGCAGTGAGCCGAGATGGCGCCACTGCACTCCAGCCTGGGCGACAGAGCGAGACTCCGTCTCAAAAAAAAAAAAAAAAAAAAAAAAAAAAAGAAATGGGAGGTTTGAGGCCGGGCGTGGTGGCTCACGCCTATAATCCCAGCACTTTGGGAGGCCAAGGTGGGCGGATCACGAGGTCAGGAGATCAAGACCATCCCGGCTCACACAGTGAAACCCTGTCTCTACTAAAAATACAAAAAAATTAGCCGGACGTGGTAGCAGGCACCTATAGTCCCAGCTACTCAGGAGGCTGAGGCAGGAGAATGGTGTGAACCTGGGAGGTGGAGCTTGTGCTGAGCAGAGATTGCGCCACTGCACTCTAGCCTGGGCGATAGAAAGAGACTTGGTCTCAAAAAAAAAAAAAAAGAAAGAAAGAAATGGGAGGTTTGAGAATGTGGGGGCATTGTTAGAGTGCCCTCCAGGTGGCTGTGCCCTGCCCACCCCTGCCCTCATTGGTGAGAGTGTCTTTCTCCCACAGCTCCAGTCTCTTTTGCTAATGTGTTTTTGATAAATACCTTGTGGGACATGAAACAACTAAAGCGTTTTCCAAATAAAATTTCTCCCCTCTTTTTAGCACCCAACTGGTCAGCTAACTTTGATGTCCCAATGGAAACTACCCACGGTGCTCCACTGGACTCTGTGGGATCTGACGTCTGGAGCACAGAGGAGCCAATGCCAACGAAAGAGACAGGCTGGGCTTCTTTTTCAGAGTTCACGTCTTCCCTGAGGTGAGTGAACATATGCTGTCTCTACACCCTTCCACGGGCGACCTGGGAATGGTCAGGTGTTTGCTATTAATGTGTGTTCTTCACCTTGACTGACTTCCAGGTTGAATATACTGTCCTCAAAAAGATTAAACATCAGCATACTGACACAGCTCTGTGTTGTAAGAAACACAATCACCATCTTTCTTTCCTTTCCTCCTGATTAATTGGAAATGGGAGTAGTTCTTGAACAAAGTAGCTTGGGAGGATGCAGTCCCAGGAAATTAGCAGGATACAGCAGAAGATGCATCTCCATGGGCTTTTCTGGCTTCACAGAGCTGTCAGGGCAGAATTGAGAACAGGAATGAGGTGAAGCCAAGAAATCCTGACAGGCACAGCACTTCTGTGTGGGGTGTGGCAAGAAAATGCAAAGTGGATCTTGAATTCAGTAGATAATATGAACTTATAGTTCACTTGCAGCTAGTCCAGCGCTGTAAATTAAGGGCTCCCAATCGTTGGTAACTCAGAAGATAGGAAGAAAAACTGTTTTGGGCTGACAGTTACTGTCTTAGACAAACCAAAAAATAGGCTGAAACCCATGTTGCTTTGTAGTAACCGTAGTAATAGCATTAAGTTACTGCTCAGAGGTACAAGTGAGATTTGTGAAAAATGTCTCCAAAATAATGAGTTATTTCATCTACCCTGCTTTTCAGTACAGGACATACATTTCACCTCCTCCTTTTTTTGGTCTGTTTATAACCCGAGGATAAGAGCCTTTGGTTACTTGAGGGTGTGATTGAAGCAGCTTGCTTCTCTTTACCCTCTGTGTGCACGTCTCTGAGTTTGTGGGAGTGAGGATAAAAGAGGAAGTGTAATGATCTCCCTTGCCCCCACCCCTTACTGCTCAGGCGTTTGATGTTTTTTACTATGTTTCCACAATTCCAACAACAAATATCATTAAGAGGGCCAGTCTCTCCCAGGCAGTGTGGCTCAAAATAAGTAAAGATTTTTGTAAAACCAGTCAACGCAATAAATACAGTTGCCATTGTACGATGTATGTCTTTGCTGTTCAAGCTCTGGGAGACTCCTAGTGATTATGGTGGGATGAGAGGTTGGGACATGATGAGCCTGTCTAGAATGCTCTACAAAGTCCGTGTCTTACAGCCCTGCTGGCTTAACAGAACATTTCCCTGCCCATACTCATCTGCTCTTTCAAACAGCTACTGACACTTAGATCCATGTGTCGTTGGAGTTGGTAACCCAGTGACTCTCACACAGATGCTAATGTCTCCTAACAGAAACTTATTTGTAAAGGCTTATTGTGAATCATGGTGTAACTGAGGATCACTCCCTGCTGCTAATACCTGAATTGTCTCTCTTTTTTGAAAGCACAAAAGATTCTTTAAGGAGTAATTCTCCAGTGGAAATGGAAACCAGCACTGAACCTATGGACCCTCTGACTCCCAGTGTGGCTGCTCTGGCAGCGCAGCCAGAAGGTGCGTGCAGAGAGGCCTGGGCACACGGCAGGGTCACATGGCTGCTTTGCCAAACCAGACCTGACTCTCAGGCTCAGGGGCCAGTGGAGCCAAGGAAGTGAGATGGTAGGTCTGATGTCCACAGGGCAGCTGATGAAAGAAATTGTGCCTGCCCTTCTAGACGCACAGCATGCTGACTCTGGAAAGAGTAAGGGCTCTAAGTTACCAGGCATGCAGCATGCAGATTAGGAAACTGGGGTCTAGAGGGAAGAAGGCCTGAGCCCATAGTACCCAGGGTGAATAAAACTGGAATTAGACGTGTGCAGCCAAGCCTGTGTGTAGTTGTTCCTTGGAGTTTGCTTTGCTCGAACACGTGGGTGTATCTGGGTTTGTTTAGAGCTATGGGACTGTTTATTTTCACTTCACCACTGTAAGCAGATTGAATAGTCCTGGGAATCTCTAAAGTTCCAGTGGGTTTTCCTGTTACTCTACCTAGTCACATGTGTTCCTTGCACTGGCTCTGAACTGTTTTCACCTTGATGGACAGGGCTTTGGGAGGAGGGGGATGCTAGCAAAGGGAGTGTGATGGGAACTGAAAGGATGTGGAGGGCACGAATCTTGAGGTGGGCGCAAGGAGTGAGTTCTTAGAAAAAGAAATGAGGTGCCGGTAGAGGGTGTGAGAACCCTCCTTCCCTGGGGCCAGGGAAAGGAATAAAACCATTAACTAATGCCGGTTTCGTCATTCTCCTGGACATTTGATACAGATTCCCACATTTTATTCCTCAGTGGTTCTGTAAGTGGGTGCACTGATCCCCCTTTTCTGGATAAGGAAACTCAGGTTATATAGACGAGGTTCCTCGTCCAAGTAGTCTACAGCTAGGAAGTGGTGATGTTGATGTTTGAATCCAGGAAGCCTCACCTCGGCCAGGCTTATCACCTATGTGGCTTCCTATTAGAGAACAAGGAAATGAGCCACCAGCAACACCACAAGAAAGTAATTTTTAAAACAAAGAAAAGCAAATAGAGCCCAACTGAGGAGAACAAGCGAGTAGAGGGTAGAATGTGTAACTGCCTGCTGTGCCCCAGACTGGAACAGTTAGGGGCACAAGTGTCTGCTGGGAGAAGCTGTGTATGGAGGTGGACGCTGAGCTGGGAGGGATGTAGGGGACTTGCTAGTCTCTAGTAAAGAAAACCCATGAAACCCCTCTTTAGTGGGCACCTTTAAGAAGTCCATGCCCATCAAGAATGGCTCAGGCACAGCAGGCAGAAGCCATCCCCTCTTGTTTTCTTTGAGCAGTAGATGTCACGTTGGGTAGATGGGTTTGTAAGTGGTGGGGTGCCAGTTCCTTTTCGGACTTACTGTGTGTGACCATCAGCTGTGTTCTTTTCAGTGCCAGGCAGTGTGGCCATGGAAGCCAGCTCTGACGGAGAGGAGGATGCAGAAAGTACAGACAAGGTAACTGAGACAGTGATGAATGGCGGCATGAAGGAAACGCTCAGCCTCACTGTAGATGCCAAGACAGAGACTGCGGTCTTCAAAAGGTAACCAGGGGTGAGATCCTGCTGGCAGCTTCAGGTTACTGGGAGGATGGTGGGGCAGAAACCTCAAACATTACAATTTTTAATTTGATTCAAATGAATGTTCAGATACTAGCTTGATGTCTTTCTACTGTCTCCATTAAACACAATAAATCTTAATGAAAAGATGGCGAGTTTAGGCCCCAAGTGTCTTTTCCCCCATAAATGTGTTCAGAAGACTGTATTTTACATCTAGCAGTTTGATAGAACTATGAGAATTGATAAATCTTTAATCACAGTAGAAATCGGGTTGTGTAGCAACTACAGAGCATGGCCCATGAAAACTGGTTTCAGTAACATACAGATGATTATCTCTGGACATAATGTAGTCATGAAAATTCAGTAGCAAAATGATAGCTTTAAAAAAAAAGTGACACTTAGAAATTAGCCTCCCTTCTAAACTCAAAAAAAGGAATTGTAATGGAAATTAAAAACCTAAAACTGAGAGAATAATGGGGAAAATGTCTGTCAAAACTTCAGGACTGCAGCTAAGCCTGCGCTTAGAGCTTTAGTCCGCATCTTAGAGACCCTTCCAGTCATTACAAGAAGAAATGCCTCCCAGCTTTTTACGAAGTCACTACACAACAAGGAGCGAAAGAAGAAAACTGATTGTAGAGACTGATTTCATACATGACTGTGGATTCTCTAAACTTCTAAGTTAAAAGCTTGCAAACCATATATAGCAATGTATTTTAAAGTCATGACCAAGGATATGTGCTCCAGTGTGACAATGTAAACACCAATGTGTACATGGTAAAAATTATTCAGAGTGATTCACAGACAGAATGAGAAAAGCATTTGATTACAAATTAAAGCTGTTCATGATTTTCTTTGCAGCCTAGGACTAGAAGGCAAGCAGGTGAAACTGATAAGTATCTCTAGAAAATCTAGAGTAGACTTGATTCTTCACAGTGAGGCATTAGAAGTATTCCCTTTAAAGACAAGAACCAGAAAGTGGGACCTACAGTTGCTATTTGTCTTCAGCACTGTGCTGGCGGCCTTAGCAAATGCAGCATACCAAATAAATAGATAAATGTCGTTGTTTATAGACTATGATTTATACATAAAAATTCCAATTGAATCTGTAGAAAAAGATTAATAGAAAAGTTTAGCAAGTTTACTGGAGATCTACAAAAATCACTTGCATCCTACAAATCACTACAAGATATTCCATATGTGCCTGTTTGTTTTTAATAAAAATGTAAAACCTTATCTATAACTAGGAATATGACCTTTATGGGAAAACAGTTTAAAACCTCATTGAATATATTGAAGACCTGAATATAAATATCAAGATTTACCATGTTTATCAATGTGAGGATATCTTTAGAATTTCTGAACAAGTTAGTCTGTGCAATTAATGAAATTGCCATCAAAATCCCAATAGAGATTTTCATGGAAATTGAGAAACTGATTGTAATAGTCATAAAGAAGACCAAAGAGAGCCACGAATAGCCAAAAACATTTTAAAGAAAAAAAGTGAGGGGCTTCACCATATTAGATATCAAGACTTAGTAAAGCTGGCTGAGTGTGGTGGCTTGCACCTGTAATCCCAGCACTTTAGGAGGATTAGGCAGGCAGATTGCTTGAGCCCAGGAATTCGAGACCAGCCTAGGCAACATGGCAAAACCCTGACTCTACAAAAAATACAAAAATTAGCTGAGTGTGGTGGTGTGTGCCTGTGGTCCCAGCTACTTGGGGCTGCTGAGGTTGAGGCTGCAGTGAGTCGTGTCCTACACTGCACTCCAGCCTGGGAGACAAAGTGAGACCCTGTCTCACACAAAAACAAAAACAAAAACAAAACTTGGTAAAGCTACTGAGATGGTGTGGCTTTGGCAAAGAATTCTACAAAGAGACCCCCTTCACTACATGAGCTTGTTACATGTTAGAATGCCATTATAATTCAGTGAGGAAAGAGTAGACTAGTAAATAGTGATTATCCACAAAGTAGAAAAATAAAATTAGATGTTTTGTCTCAACATAAATATGAAAAGCATGAACTGTACAGCTTTTAGAAGACAACAAAACAGAATATCTTTACAGTATGGGTGTAAGGCATTTTTTAACCATAAAAAGCCAAACTATAAAGGAAAATATTGGTAAGTTTGACTTTAATTTCTTTCTTTCTTTTTTTTTTTTTTTTTTTTTTGAGACGGAGTCTTGCTATGTCACCCAGGCTGGAGTGCAGTGGCCGGATCTCAGCTCACTGCAAGCTCCGCCTCCCGGGTTTACGCCATTCTCCTGCCTCAGCCTCCCGAGTAGCTGGGACTACAGGCGCCCGCCACCTCGCCCGGCTAGTTTTTTTGTATTTTTTAGTAGAGACGGGGTTTCACCGTGTTAGCCGGGATGGTCTCTCGATCTCCTGACCTCGTGATCCGCCCGTCTCGGCCTCCCAAAGTGCTGGGATTACAGGCTTGAGCCACCGCGCCCGGCCAGTTTGACTTTAATTTCTAAAAACCCAGAAGACATAAAATGAAAAGACAAGCCACAACCAGTAAAGAACCAGTAGCCAGGATATGAGAAAGAACATAGTATCAATAAGAGATAGTCTAATTTTTTTAAATGAACAAAGGATTCAAACAAGCAGCTGTCTGTGGAGGAAAACAAGGAGCAAACCAAATCCGGAGTAAATGGGACCTGTCAGTTACAGTAGTAAGTGGATGCTGTTTCATGCTCACCAGTCTGCTAATTCCTGTCTTAAGTTGTTAGAGAAAATAGAAAAAGTACAAAACCTGCCTGGCTCATTTTATGAGGGCAGTGAAATCTGAATTCCAAAACCAGATGAAGATAATTACAGAAAATGATCAGTTCATGCCACTTACGGGCTACTGAATGCAAAAATCCTGTGTAAGGTATTTGCTGACTGGATCCAACAGTGTATTAAAAATAATTTATAATGATTAGTTAGGGTTTTATCCTGGAAGGCAAGGATGGCTCAAAGTCAGAGAAATCTGTCAGTTTAATCTCCATATATGGTATTAAACAAAGTCATTTGATTTTTTTTTTATAAGGTTCCATAGCTATATATGATTAAAACTCTGAGAAAACCAGTAACAGAAGTGAATTTATTCTCTGCCTCTTGGTCTCAAGCCATCCTCCCACCTCAGCCTCCCAAGTAGCTAGGACTAGGACTACAGGCACATGCCACCATGCCCAGCAAATTTTTGTAGGTTTTTTTTGTAGTGACGGGGTTTCACCATGTTGCCCAGGCTGGTCTCAAACTCCTGAGCTCAAGCAATCCACCTGCCTCCACCTCCCAAAGTGCTGGGATTATAGACGTGAGCCACCGCACCCAGCCATGAATTTCATTAACTTGGTATAAGTTAAATACCAATATCAAAGTGCTACAGCAAAACTTATCCCTAATGAGGAAATTTTAGATGCATTCACTTTAAGACAAAGACCAAATAAGGATGTCCATTTTCACTGCCAGTGTTAGGCAGTCCTGGAAGGAAAAGGAAATAGAGTTATAGGTAAAGATCAGGAGGAAGTGATAAAACTGTTGTTCTTTGCAGGTGGTAATGATTACCTACAACCAAGTCAGTAGCAAACTTGTAACTAATAAGAATTCAGTAAAGCTATTGAGTAAGAAATCAGTTTTAAAAATTAGTAGTCTTTTTCTTCATCAATAGTAAGCAACCAGAACCTACAATAAAAAGCAAGGTATTATTCCAAAACACATCAAAATATAAATTATTCAGGAATGATCTTAACCCAAGTCTCTATAGAGAAAACTTGAAGAAATCTGGACAAGTGGAGACCATGGCATAGCTTAGTGCTGCAAAGACATTTGCCATCTTGAAGTTAGTGTTTAACACAGTCTCAATCCAAATTTCAGTTGGATTTTTAGAAGGAACGTAATACTCTAAAACTTATATGGAAAAATAAAGGTTCCCAAATTGCTTAGAGGTAACCAAAAGGGAAGACTGAAAAAGAGACTTGCCCTGCCAGGTACTCAGTCACACTGCAAAGTCACAGTGATTGGAACAGTTTTGATACTAGCGTCCAAACAGGTCCAGGTGTCAGTGTGATGAAATAGAGGGATTAATAATGGGGAGGAGAGAGGAAGAGCTGGCTCACCAAAAGGAAAAGTCAGGGGAGATCCTCCCTAATCTACATCCTAAAACAGCTCCAGCTGGATTAAAAGACAATAAGAAAAACATATGCAGTGCTTTCTGTGCACCAGGCCCTGCTCTCTACACACTTCATGTGTGGTAACTCATGGTTTATTCTTAGGCACCCTATAAGACAGGTACTGGGATTATTATCCCTGCTTTCCAGGTGAGGAAACTTAGGCACTAGAGTTAAGTGATGTGGCCGGAGGCCAGAGTCTCATAATGGTTAATAAAAGAAATAGAGAATGTCTTCTTAATCTGTGGGCAGAAAGGGATTTCTGTATCTATCTATTTCATCTGTCTGTCATCTATCTGTCTGTCTGTCTGTCTATCTAATCTATCATCTGTCAGTCTGTATCTAATCTAGATTTTTTTTTTTGAAGACGAGGTCTCGCTCTGTTGCCCAGGCTGGAATGCAGTGGTGTAATCATAGTTCACTGTAACCTCCAACTCCTGAGCTCAAGCAGTCCTCCCACCTCAGCCTCCCAAGTAGCTGGAACTACAGGTGTGTGCCACCACTCCTGGCTTAATTTTTTTGTTTGTTTACTTTTTTATTTTTGTGGCCCAGACTGGTCTCAAACTCCTGGCTTCAAGTGAGCCTCCTTCCTCGGCAGGACTTCTTTAAAAAAACAGAAAGCCTTCAAAAACAGAAACTATAATGCAAAGAGTTTAGTTAGATTATATTAAAGTTAAGAATTTCTGGCTGATAAAATGCTGCAGACAAAATTAAGAGGCTGATGGCAAACTAAAAAAAAAAAAAATCTGTAGTAGCTAAATCAACAAGAGACATTAAATATTCAAGGACTTCCTATAAACTAGTAAGAAGAAGAAAACCCAAATCAGAAAATTGGCAAAAGATAACAGTTTATAGACAAACCTTAAAAGCTTAAAAAAAAAATTGCTCAAAACTCAGAGAATTATAAATAACAATATAGCACTTGATACTCTTCTTACGTGAGCAGCAGTTAAAGGTGGATGATACTGAGTGGCGGTGGGCTGCAGCCTGCGGGGCCCTGGTGGCCTGCTGGTGAGGAATACAGACCGGGACAGTCATTCTGGGTAGTAGCCCGGGGTTCTTTGTAGGTAGAAAAATGGCCTACAACTCTCCACTCCTGGGTGTCAAGTACTGAGAAATGCCCAGACAGGTCTGCCGGGGCCATGGACAGTGATGGTCGTCACAACACCCTGCATGGAAGTGTGGAGGTGGAGGGCAGCTTTGGTTGGGAGAAGCCACACAGTGTGGTAGGTGCATGCCACGGGTGCTGTGCCACAGTCAGCAGGGACAGTGGGTCTCCCCAACTGGCTGAGTTAAGAGGTAAATACGATGAGATGTAGGGTTGAATCCATCCCAGTTAGTGACTCAGAATACACATATGTTATGACTATATATTTTTTAAAGAATTAGAATTAGAAACACATTAGTTGCTTTGAAGGGAAAGGAGTGGAGAGTGGGGATGAAGAAGAGTAACTTAAGAATGGACCAGCTAATTCAGATGTTCACTGGATCATATGATTTTCACTCATTTTCCTACTTATGAATTGCTTGGAACTATCTGGAAATGACCCAAGAAAACATCCTAATGAGGTTTTTCATAAGCAAAATCCAGGACAGAATCAGCTCTGAGTGATGGACCTTTCCACAAGGAACCTCTAACTGACCTTTCACTCTTATTAGTGCCATTTCAATGATGTAAAAAGGAGACTCACAGACTGAATAGGCAGAGTCTAAATTTCTAGCCCACAGAGCTGAGGCAAGTGTCTCTTGTGTCTTTCTCCACCAAGAACCATCTCGGGGGGAAAACAATCCTTCTGGGTCTCGTTTTCCCCAAATCCTCTGTGCCCTTAGGGTCAGCTCTTGGCCCCCACTTCTCCCTCGTGGCATTTGTGCTTCTTACACATTGTTCGAGGGCAACTCGAGGAGCCGTGAAATCTGATGCAGTCATCACGGTGACCTCCTCATGTGACTGAGACTTCCAGCCAGCAAGCTGATGGGGTCTGTCTTGCTGCTTTAATGGTGGGCTTCGCCCCAAAAGCAAAGTGCTTTAACTAAAGACTCATTCCTTCAAACAGGTTCTTTGACACCTTCACCGAGTCTGCAGTTTTGCTTACGTGCAGTCGTGGACATATTATTCCCCCAAATTCCTCATTTCTAGGAGTATTCTGAAACTCTTGTACATTTCTTTTTCTGTTTTGCACACTGGGCTTCAGAGTGTTGAAATCCTATCGGTATGTACAGTGTTATGGGACCATTCTTTATCAGACGCCAGCCACATTACATTGTCCCTCTTTTGGTTCCCACCTGTGTGCAACCCTTTCCTTTTGTGATTCCCCAGTCACTGTCTGTGGTCCCTGTGATCATGCACCCTGCGCATGCTCGGTCCCAGGACGCTTTGCCTCTGTGGCAGTCATGACTCCAGAGCCATCTGCATGTGACCTCATCCTCTGGTGCCTAGGTGCTGGTCCCTAGGGTGTTTGATGTGCCTGTCATCCTCTTTACTGCAGTGAGGAAGGGAAACTGTCTACCTCTCAAGATGCTGCTTGTAAAGACGCGGAGGAGAGCCCCGAGACTGCAGAGGCAAAGTGTGCCGCGCCCCGACCTCCCAGCAGTAGTCCCGAGCAGAGGTAACCACCCGCCTCCTCACACCCACCCTGGCCCTGCCCCGACCTTGCCTGTTACTTCCTGGGAGTTGGAAGGGGACTAGAGGGGTAGTTTACAGCTGTGCTCAAGTCTTCGGCCACTGACCTGGCAGGACAGGGTTTTCTCAGTCCTTACTGAGCTGATTCCGACTGAACTGAGAACTTAGAAACAGCAGTTCCTCTCCTTAGCACAGAAGCTGAAAACCAGTTTTTAGAGACTCTTTAACATCACTTGCTCTTTCAGAAGTGGGTCTGAACAGAGGGGTCTCCTCGCCCTTGTTGGTGAGGTAATGAGCTCAGGGTGGCATTGAGCCCCTTCAGGACTTGAGTTCTCAGTGGCCCCACTAAAGTCATGCAGCTGCCAGGCACAAGCAGATCGTAGTGCCTGTTTGCCCACAGTCCTGCCTGTGTGACACAAGGAGAACTTGCTGGAGGCCCTTTCATACATGTAGCTAAATAATTCTTAGTGCTTAAGTGACTCCCTGTAATCTTAAGTATGAAATGCCCACTCTCAGAGCTGTGTCACTTGGAATGTGATGTTTTGTTTCTAGTCACTCTTTGCTTAGCCTGAGCCAGTGGTCTGAAGGGATGGGCCAGTCTAAGCCTCAGCCGCCTGGAGCCCATGCCAGGCCCTTAGCAAGACTGAGCATGGCCCAAAGATGAGGCTACGCCCCTGGTCCACAGGAAGCTTTGTTCAGCACCTCCCACAATTAACTTCTGTGAGCACATGTAGCTCAGATTGTATATTCCTTCCCTAAGGAATAAAGTGACCTTTAAAGCTATTTCAGAGAAGTTTTAACCCCCCACCCCCACCCCATCCTCCCCAAAATCTTGCCAGCATTGTGTGAGAGCATAACAGTGGGAACCAGCAGGGAGCACTCTTTGTTGGTCCAGAATCCTGTATTCACAGTGTAGTAAACTGTTTGTGTTTTTCCTGTGGAAATCGTAGCCAAAATAAAGCATTTGTTTTTGTGATTAAAAATATCTTTTTGCATATAAAACAAATTGAGAACTGTTTGAGCATGTTGGCTCTAGCGAAGGCTTTGAGGGGAAGAGGCAGGGTGGCCTCTAGCACTGGGAAGTCACCTCAATTCTGCTTCTAAGGATTGGGCAAGTCACTCTTTTTCTTGGGGTTTTCAATGTATTTTTCTAATGGTCCTTTATAGGTCTAATTCCCAATCAATTGTGTCAGCTCTGATTTCTACCTATAAATTTCCTTTATATTGAGGGCTGCCTAGGAGGCAAGATCGTCCAGGTCCATCCCAGTTTGGGGAGTTGCTTCAGGGGAATATTCTTGGTTTTTCTGTCATAAGGATGCACAAAGCTCTGGAGTCATTTCCTTGGCTTTCCAGCGCACAGAAGCATCGTTTGCGTAAGGGGAAACCACTTGCTCTCCTGTGGCTGGGAATGCCTGCTCTGAAGAGCCCTGCCCTAACCTGCAGGGCCAAGGGATGGAGGAAAAGCTGGGGTGAGCCAGTGGAAGAAGAGGGGCATCACTCGGGTTCATGCCTTTGTCCATCTGTCCTTCTTCCATCTGACACACATTTGTGTGTGGTGGCCACTGGTCTAGGCCAGTGCAGCACACGGACACCCAGTAATCTCGGGGCATACTGGAGGCACGTTCATGAAGAAGCCACGAAGCCACGAAGAAGGGACAGGGGTCCGTGTGAGCTGGGGTGCGGGGGAGAGGATCTCTGAGAAGGTGACACTGGAGCAGGCATTAGGGCAGACCTAGAGTGCGTCCTAGATTGCACGTGTTCTAAAGCGACGTATGACAACATGGGAGATAGAAGCTCACCCGTCTTCCCTGTGTGGTTCCCGTCCCAGCCAGATAATGCACTGCAGTTGCTTGGATTGGCAGGCGCACCGTTTACTGTCACACTTAGGAAAGATCTGCAGTGCCACATGATCTCACTTTTCACAACTGTTTTATCAAGCATGTTCTTTGTGCTTCCGGTGTGCTAAGCACGCTGCGCACATTTATGTCCTTATTCCATGTGTACACTAGTGAAGCCTTGTTGGCTGTGAGAGGGTTATTTTCCCTTTTTACAGAGGAGAAAACAGAACTGAGAGGGGCTAAAAAATCTACTTATAAGATCATTCAGTTTGTTCAGTGAAGGCAGGTTATATACCGGCTATGTCTGGTTCCAGAAGTCTCAGTTCCTATGTCTCTCATACATGGAGCCACCATCAGATGTAAGTGAGCAGAGTGGACTGTGTGTGCAGAGCTGACTTCTTGGCTCACTGTATAACCAGCAGGTGTAAGGCATGGAAAGCATTCTAGCTGTAAACGGTGAATGGTAATGGAAAAGTGCTTGTGGGCATCCCAGTTACAGCCCTAAGCACCCTTTCCCAAGTCTGCTTGATACAATTTTGGTTAAGCCCTCCAGAATATATTGTATATTCAAGTTGTAATTTTGGCAGGAAGGTGAAACCTGGACATTTTGTTATATACTGTCCCACCTCTTACTCCTTCCCAGTTTTGAGCCTAACATTTGCTTTGCGGGAACATGTTCTTCAAGCGGAGACCTTTTTTTCCCCAGTAGTTTGTTTTATTTGCAAACCTTTTCTTTCATTTCTCCCCCTCCCTCCCCCCCACCTTTCCTAGTAGCAGAATCCTGTTTCCAAGTGAAATAGTATGTGGATTCCAGTGTGTGGGTCACATAAAAGCGTTCTTGAAGGAGGGGTGAGCACATAGCTCCTGAAGGCTCTGGAAGCCACACTTTATACCCCACTGACCTAGTCTCTCCCTGTGCTTCTCAAGGCCGCGGTGGGGCGGTTTTCCCAGAGCATTTGCTCTGCTGCAGCCCTTGCCAAATGCCTGCTCACCTGGTGATGAAGCTTAGATGCCACTCAGATTTTTCTAGAGCTTTATCTCCATTCATTTACATGTCATTTTATTAAAAACTATTGAGTTCAAAACAATATTAAAATAAGCGGTCCCTGCCCTTGGGGAGCTCAGCAAAGTGGGTTTTGGTTTTCGTGTTTCTGCCGCAAGTACCTCTGATGCCTGTCTGTTGCTCCCTAGGACTGGCCAGCCAAGCGCACTGGGTGACACTTCAGTGAATGGCCCCGTATGACGGGTGACGTCTGCTGCTGCTGACTGAGGACTGCAGACCGCCACCACTCAGGGGCTCTGGAGGGGTCAGCTGGAGCCCACCAAGCTGTCACTGCTGCACTCACTCTGCAAGGGATCAGGACCAGCAACCTTTATATTCTAGATTCTAAGACATTGTACAGAGAAATTCAGAAGTGTAAAAATATTGCACATTGACAAATACCAAGAATTTTTGCGTATGTTTATATTGTATTGTTCTAAATAATGGGTAGCCTGTGAAATAAGATCTTGCCACCCATGTAATAATAGTAGTAATACTATAGTTAAAATGGCTGTAAGAATAGTTTTATAAAAGTGAATACACAGATCTATTGTATTTGAAACATAACTATTTGACAATTATTAGTGTGACCAAAGTATTAGGCGGTTTTCATACATTTTTCACCTTGTACAAAATTATGAATTCATTTTTCTTCCAGGCTGGCAAGGAGTTGTAGAATGAAAATGCCCTCTAAGTGTTATTTTGGTTGTTCTAACTTACAAAAGTGATTTTGAATAAGAAATATTTGGTGTTCTTTTTATAACCAGTTTTCGATTGGTAATTGTTTTCTGTATTGTTTAAAATGGATCAAAAATGTAAGTCTATTGGTAGAGATTAAGTATTTATTGCTACATCATAGTTGATAAATTGATGTTATTGTAAAGCCATATGTTCTGTTCAAGTCTTGTTTGCTTGAAATGATTATTCCTACAAGTGAAACACTAGACTATTTGGAGTGTATATGGCTTGTGTTTGGGGTTGTTTTTTTTTTTTTTTCTTTTTTTTTTGGCTTTTGTTTTTGTTTTTTGTTTCGTTTGGTAGTTCATCTGCCTTTTAACCCATTCACCAAAATTTACCTTGTTAACAAGCATCACCAATGAACATTTCAGAGCAATCTGCATATTTAACAGACCTAAATCCTATTAGGCAAGTCAGTTGAAAATGCTCGTGCTGCTAATGGAATTAGAGTGCGTTCATTTTACAGGCTAGTATTTTAAAAGTAGAAATGAAAATCTGGCACCGAAGCATGCTAATTGTTTACTGTACCTTGTGAGGTTTTCACTCATAAATTTAAACCAGTGTATTTTTTTAGAACTGGTTTGTGTATATATATAGTGATTATGGATACTAATTCAATGTAATTTATAATTTTCTATGTCAATATAAAAATACATCATAGCCTTCTCAAACAGCTGAAGCAATATATTGTATATTGCCATATCGTCTGGTGAAAGGGTTAAATTACTTCACCTCTTGCACTTTTAGATGCAAATCAGTTTTTCATTTCTGTAATAGAAAATTATTCACGTATTTTTACATCATTTGTTTTTCCTGACCAGTATTTAAAACCAAAAGGATATTCTGAAAAATGGCCAACAATTTTTTTAGAAATAGCATCCCAAGCAGCGTGCCTAAACATTACATTGCATATGGAAATAAAAGAATCAAACGTCTAATGCCTTATTTCTGATTTCCTTTTTCATTTGAAGTGGTGTAGAGACTCCAGCACTCACAGGACAGTGGAGTCAGCAGTAAGCCCTGGGACAGGTGGCAAGAGTGGCTCCCTTGACCTTTGCACGCCTCCTGAGGAACCCACTTTCCCGGGTGAGCTCCTCTCTGAAGAGACTGTCCTCGGGCCTCCTCTGGAATCGGCACTGCCAGAGGACAGGGCTCCTCCTGCTTGCCTCAGGACTGCCTGGCTTGTGTGGCATTGGACTTCGGGAATTGCTGGTAGATAACATGCTCTGGTCTCACCTGGTGGCAAGCTTTGCCAGCCCTGGCCAGGGTTTGGCTCCAGTGGTGGCACATATGGCCTCCGTGGTATGGACCTGGTGGCTTCTGCATCCCACCGTGGCCTCCGTGGTATGGACCAGGTGGCTTCTCCATCCCACCGTGGCCTCCGTGGTATGGACCAGGTGGCTTCTCCATCCCACCGTGGCCTCCGTGGTATGGACCAGGTGGCTTCTCCATCCCACCGTGGCCTCCGCGGTATGGACCAGGTGGCTTCTCCATCCCACCCAAGGTAACAGTGTCTCGCTTCACCCACGGGCTGCTAGTGAGGGAGCCCCTGGGACTTTTCTTTGGGGCAGCATTTTGTTTTGTCTTTCGTGGCAGGGAAAGGATGTGATGATGGGGAGGACAGTTCTTTTGGAGGTTGGAGGGGCCAAGCCAAGGACAGGAGCGAGCGTGCCCTCATTTTGTTTCTACTTTAATTTCTGTGTGTCGGCCATACTGAATTATGAGACTAACAGATGTCTACAATACAGTACCTGTATTCAAAATAACAAAAATAAAGCCTGATTCTTTGTTTCTAGAAATCTCTTGTACCTTGCTTGGGCTTTTAATGGGTTGATGTGTCCTGCCATTAGGTCCCGTGTTACACTAGGTCCTGTGTGAGAAAGACCGCACTGCACTGGGCGAGAGTGGCCTCTGGGATCAGGGGCTCATCCTCCCCACTGCAGTAGCCCAGGTGCCCAGAAGAGGCAGTGCCTGACACTGGTGCTCAGTCTTGGGACGGTTCCAAGGGTTCTTCTGGACCTCCAGGTGGTTAACTTTATGTGCAGCGTGCCCCACCTATGTTGTTTGGCTTCTAGCCCAGGTCACACTCAGGTGCTCCATAATGATTCTTCAGATGTGATGCTTATTACATCTCCTTATTTTTCATTTTCCCTTCACCTATTTGCTTAAAAACATGTTCTCTAGCCATTACCTCCTAGCAGGTCCTCTGCACAGCCTTTTGCTTTCTGGGCACGCACTCATTCCTGCGTGCCTGGGCCCACAGGCATCTCACACGGCACTGAGTATACACCTCTGCATGCCTGGGCCCACAGGCGTCTGTCTCTGAGCTGTCTGGGCACACACCTCTACATGCGTGAGCCCATAGGCATCTCACTGGCAATCGTGTAACCAGGCCATGAGCTCTCCAGCCGGGTGGCTCATCACAGCCCAACTCAGCCACTCATGATGGTGTAACTTTAGGCAGGTCTTTGTCTCAGCTTTTTCTGTCAGGTGGGGAAACAGTAGGAACAAGTTCAAAGACTAGAATAGCTTTTTACTTACGGTAAATGTTTAGTAAACGTTAGCTAACTTGTACTCACTTAACCCCATAATGTCACCTGCTAGCTTTTCTAAATTTCCACTTCAATCCCACCTATTATTTAAAACCTTTACCTTCAGAAAAGCTGAGCATCTTAATCAGATGGGTTTCGTTGTCCTTTAGCTTCCAGGGTCAGCTGCATCTCACGTGCCAATCTGGCCACCACCTGTGTCTGTGAATAAAACTGTCTATTCGTATGGAAAGAAATGAAACTTTATTCCTACTGCACGTCATACACAAAAATTCATCCAAAATAGATTTACAGATTCAAACATGAGCGCTTAGACAATGAAGTTTTTAGAAGAAAAAATTATCTAAAATGTAGGATGGGCAAAGGCTGCTTCGGATACAGAGCACATACCATAGAAGAAAGAAATTGGGCTTCCATCAACATGAAAATCTTCTGCCCTTGAAAATCGACAAGCAAGCAGTGGAATGCCACGCAAGAAATCACACTTGTCCTGACAGAGGACTCAGACCTCAGATCTATATAGGGGAGAAAACGGCAAATCAAAATTAAGATGAAAAGCCCAATTTAACAAATGAGCAAGAGACTTGAACACAGATAATCACGAAGAAGGCACAGATGTTCCCTGACTTACGATCCATGCCGGCCGCTTTCCCTCGCAATGGCACAGCTGGCTATGACTGCCACTCCCTGCCACCGCTCAGTACTGCAGGAGGGCACCGTGCCATCAATCAGCAGCCCAGGAAAAGATCGGAATTCAGAAAGTGGCTTCTACTGAGTGCTTAATGCTTTCACACCATCGTAAAGTCCAAAAACCTGAAATCGAACCATCTTAAGTCAGAGACCTGTGTATACATGAGTGTCCAATAAGAACATGGAAAGTTGTTCAACATCATCGTTGCCTAGGGAGGGCAAGTTAGAATCACAAAAAAGGTCCCATTTTCCATGTATTAGTGTTCACATGAAAAAGACATCACCAAATAGTAATGAGAAGGTGCAGCTGCTAGAACTCAGCTACTGCTGTCTGAAATAATACATCCAGTTTAGAAAACTAGCGGGCAAATTCATTTTTTTGGTTTGGGGGTTTTAAAAAATTAGACATAATCCTGCAGACTCTCCTAGATACTCAGTGCAAATATATGTCCACAGATGATTTGTACAAGGATGTTTACTGTCACTTTATTCATAATATGTCTAACAAGAAGGTGGATAAGCAGATTCTGGTGTACTCATACGATGGACTTCTACTCAGTAACCAGTGGGGGTGAACCGTGATGAATGCAGCCATGTGTATACATCTCAAAAACATGTTAAAGGCTGGGCATGGTGGCTCACACCTGTAGTCCCAGCACTTTGGGAAGTCAAGGCAGGCAGATCACTTGAGGCCAGGAGTTCAAGACTAACCTGGCCAACATGGCGAAAACCCGTCCCTAATAAAATTTTAACAAAAATTAGCCCAGCGTGGTGGTGCATGCCTGTAATCCCAGCTACTCAGAAGGATGAGGCACAAGAATCGCTTGAACCCAGGAGGCGGAGGTTACCGTGAACTGAGATCTTGCCACTGCACTGCAGCCTGGGTGACAGAGTGAGAGTCTGTCTCAAAAGTAAAGTAAGTAAATGAATAAAATGTGTTAAGCGAAAGAAGTGAGATATGTAAGTGTCTATACGAAGCTCTAAAACTGACCAAACTGATTGATGATAGAAATTTGAGTAGTGTGTTCGCCTGGTAGGGAAGGGGGAAGGACGGGCTGTAGAGAGCACAGGGCACCTGGGGTGAGGGAAGTCTTCGCAGCTTGTTGGCGATGGTGGTTGCGTGAGTGTATACATGTGTCCAAACTCATCGAAACCTACGCTGAAGCCCTATGCATTTGATTGTACGTGATTTGCCCCTTAATCTTTTAGAAGACCTATGGAAAAGGGAAAATAAAAGTAAAGCATAGATAGCATTGTGAGGGAGAACACACCCCCCGTGGCACGCACTGTGGCCCCGGAACTGCCTTTCCTACCCCGCCGAGGAGAGACTGAGGAGCAGGGCACGCTCTGGGCTCCAGCCTGGATTTGCCCATCCATGGAGAGGACACATTCCGGATTGTTCTCTTCCACACAGTAGACTTTCTGTCCCGCTGAAGGGAGAGGTCTGCATCCCTGGGTTAGACACATCTCATGGAGGCCTCTGCCCGCGACCGGGGAGGGGGACATTTTTCTAATCCAGGGATGAAGTCAGAGAACTAATCCAAACCATGCCCCTCAAGCAACGTTTAGTTTTAAAAAGAAAAATAAAAGGATGTTGAATCCATTTGTCCGTCGTGTCTTATTTCCCAGAGGGCACTTCAGGAAGGCTGAAGGGGGCACGATTATCTCCACTAAAACTCCAGCTAGGCGCTTGTCACAGGAGGAGGTGGAAAGCCGTGGTTTGTATGAAGGGAGTGGTGTGAAGATGGGAGAACAGGCCACGCCAGCTGCTGCTTCCCTTCTCGGGGACAGCCACGCTCTGACTGCGGCTCCAGGACTGCGGCTAATGGTTCAAAGGCCCAGTCACGGGGTCCTGTTGGGAGGAGGTGCTTGTGCCCTGGCCTCATGTTTCTCTGTGGGATCTTGGCACTAGAGGAGTGCCCTTGGCCTCTCCACACTTGCACTCTAATGGGAGCTTAGTGACGTCGCTGAGAGATTTTGGCGACTTGCATTTTTGGTTCAGTCAAAAATGCTTTCTAGGCTGGGCAGGGTGGCTCACGCCTGTAATCCCAGTGCTTTGGAAGGCCAAGACGGGCGGATTGCTTGAGCCCAGGAGTTCGAGACCAGCTGGGCAACACAGTGAGACCTCATCTCTATAAAAAAGTAATACAAATTTAAAAGCCAAACTACGAAGTTTTTTTTCCCCCATTTGTCTTTCAAGCCCTAATTCTCACTTGTTTCTGAACTTTGGTGTCAGGAGTAGGAGGAAGTTCCCCTAAACCCCCTCTTTCCTAAACAAACCAAGAAATACGTTGTTACACTAAATCTGTTTTTTCTCTTTAGAAGACAGGTGGTCAGATTGGGGTTGAAACTAGAACCCAGGAATATGCTGTTGATGTAGTAATCATAAAAGTGACAGGCTGAAAATAAGTGGATAGAAAAATAGGGTACGAGCAGAAAATAAGAGTATTCATATCAGGCAAAGCAGAGTTTAAAAGCACTGTGCAGGAGTAAGATGCTCTTCATCAAACTATAAATACAGTAGTGGAACAAAACAATTAGAAATGTAAGGAAAGGGTCTTCTGTTTCTAGCTATAAGAGTAATTTTATCGGAACGCACATCCTGCCAACAATGATAAAAGTTGGGCTTTTTAAAAACTGGCTTTAAACATTTTACAACTAGAGTACTTGAGCCCGGGAGTTCGAGACCATCCTGGGGAATGTGGCAAGACCCTGTCTCTACAAAAAAATTTTTTTTTTAATTAGTCAGGCATGGTTGTGCGTGCCTGTGGTCCCAGCTACTCGGGAGGCTGAAGTGGGAGGATTGCTTGAGCCAGGGAGGTCAAGGCAGCAGTGAGCTGTGATCACGCCACTGCACTCCAGCCTGCATGACAGAGCAAGACCCTGTCACAAAACAAAACAAAAAAAATCAACACAAACTAGGAACAGAAGGAAACTATGTCAACGTAAAAGCCATACGTAAAAACCCACAGCAAACATTTTACTCATTAGTGAAAGACAAAGATTTTCCTCTAAGAACAAGAACAAGGCAGGGATGCCCTCTTTCACCACTCCTATTCAACAGAGCACTAAGTTCTAGCCAGAGAAATTAAGAAGAAAAAGAAATACAAGGCATTCGATTTGGAAATGAAGAAGTAAAATTATCTCCATTTGCAGGTAATATGATTTGAAAATGTAGAAAGCCCTAAAGTGTCCACACACACACACACAAACACTATTAGAACTAATAAATGAATTCAGCAAAGTAGCAGGATATAAAGTCAACACACAAAAATCAGCTGAGTGTGGTGGCCCACACCTCTAATCCCAGCACTTTGGGAAGCTGAGGAAAGAGGATTGCTTGAGCCTGGGAGGTTGAGGCTGCAGTCAGCTATGGTTACGTCACTGCACTCCAGCCTGGGCAATGTTGCAAGACCCTGTTCAAAACACACATGCACACACATCAGTGGTGTTTCTGTATGATACCAACGAAGAATCTAAAAAAGGAAATTATAAAAATAATTCCCTTTACAATAGCATAAAAAGGATGAAATATTTAGGAATTAACCAAAGAAGTGAAA